GTTTCTGCCGTTGTTCATAGGTTCGTGAAGCCACGTCCGTGAACAATACGATGAATCGTGGAACGTCGTCACGAGTCGGGATCAGTGAACGCCGTGAGCGCATTTGCATTGCATTTCGGGGAACTCACACATTTGCTGTCTAGTTTACTGTGTAGTAAGTAATACATGGATTATATTCCTACAGATAAAAGTGCTCCTGACTCTATCAACTTAAACTTCCCACTGCCGGGCGAGAAAGGACCTGCCTGCTTAGTGAAGGTGCGATTCCATACGCGTACTCGGGATGTTGTTTGCAATCGCGTCGAAAAGTTAGGCCGCGTTGAGTTGAATTGCCACGCATCCAGATAACTCCAAACGTTTTCTATCGAGTTACAATTTTTTGCGCTGCGTTCGTTTTCTCGTTGTCCGGGAATAATTACGTAATGGTCGGTAGTTGCCGTGGGTGTAGTACTACTTTATTCGTCGTCCCGTTGAATTATTCCGCGTCCATATAACTCTTTGACCGAGTTTCACAACTGACCTATCTGTCTGGGCGACATAACCAAGTCTCTGATTGGATACCGTTGTTAGGTCGTTGAGGTTTCCATCGACGGGAGTTTTTTTTTTCTCCTACTTTTCACACGCTCACGTCGCGCTGTCAGCTTTACAACACTTTGTTGCTAAGCATCTCATTAAAAACACCTGTATCCATACCTGTATCTCGACACTGATTGCCCAGAGCTACCTGTCGCTCGCTTGAGGTCGATACCTCGATCGATTTGAAGCGATTTTTGCGCATTGTTTTTTTTTTGCGCGCGTGTATTTACTTCAATTGATAGAGTGCTCGTCTCGCATGTGGAAGGTCGGGGGTTCGAATCCTGGCCGGGTCCTACCAAAGACTCGAAAAATGGTACACACTGCTTCTCTGCTTAGCACTCTGCAAGAGATAGAGTGTGGAAACGTATACATTAGCAGGAGATGCGACCGCTAATGTTCTCTTAGCAATTGAAAAAATCATGATGAGTATGCACTCGCCACGATTTCGGGCACGCTCGACTGATGATGATGATGATGCTTGACGCGATGTTTGATGGTCGGTCGTTGTCGCAGGTCTACGACAAAGAAGAGAACCTCCAACTGAACGACGTCGTGGAGTTTGTGGGGATCCTGTCGGTCGATCCGGCGCTGGCCAACTTCACGAGCGACTCTGAGTGAGTAGCAGA